ATATATATATATATATATACTTCGAATGTAAATATATGCGTTTTTAAAAAAGTAGCATCATAACGTAAAAATATCAACGTAAATAATATATTTGCTAAATTAAATAAAGTCACTACTTGTTATATTAGTGCAATAATAATGGATTTTACTGTTGAATATATTGTATTAAATTTGTTCAGGAAAATGGCATGGGCATATGTCTCGAAGGAACAAAAAAAAAGAATGATCAGATGTGATTCTGACAAGGCGTTTGGCGTAATTGCGAAAGTAGGTGACCTCTGACAGAAATTGAAAATCAATAAAGTGCAGTGGAGTTCGTGATACACAAAGAACGAAGGTAGCTCCGCTTTGCATTTTTGAGGTTATGTTGCCCGAGATTGAGAAGGTACAGCATCGGATGTTCTATTTTCGTTTCGGCGAAAAGTGTTTATTCTTGCCAGTCGTAGGCGCGCGTTACACATTATAATGCATCTAAATGTGAGAAGAAGTCACGAAAGTGCCGTGAGATAGTACAAACATGGGCAGGAGAAAATCTCACGGATCATCTAAAAGTAAACAACATGTTCCACACCAAAGGCAATTATCGTTAGCAAAAAGAAACGAGATAAATGCCTTGTGCGAAAAACTATTTGTTCGTGAGTATATTTTTCATGAAAATATTTTTTAATATTATATATTTTTCTTAATTCTACTATTTTTTAATAAGTTGCTTTAACGTGATTGCAAAATATTAAACAATCCTATTAAATTTTTATATTATTAATGAAAGATAAATAAAAACATTTTGATGTTAACTATAAAATCATTGTATGAACTTTGCATCATTAAATATTTTAAATTTATAAAAAGCTATTCTAATTAACCTTGCTAGTTTTTACAAATTATAAATTTTTCACATAACGATATTAATAAAATAATGAGTAATATTTATTTATGCTGTTAAAAAAATAATTTTCATTTTTTAAAATAGTGAGTATTAATTCAGCGTATGTAACGCAATTATGGGACAATTATGTGGAGATATCAACGATTTTGGAGAAGGTTAAAAGGTTGGAGGAAATGAAGACGGAGTCGTCGAAACGATCCCAGGGGATTGGACAATTCATAAATTGGCTTAAAGAGAATGGCGCGAATGTAGACGGAGCGAGCGTTGTTGAATTTCCAGGATACGATTTGGGTTTAAAAGCAGAACGTAATTTCCTCGAAAATGAATTAATTTTAAGGATACCTAGGGGACTTATTTTCAGTATTCACAATGCAGCTCCAGAATTAATTACACTTCAAAATGATCCTCTAATACAGCATATGCCCCAAGTGGCGCTCGCGATTGCACTTCTTATCGAAAGACACAAAGAAAATTCGAAATGGAAGCCTTATTTGGATATCCTTCCCACTACTTATACAACTGTGTTATACATGACCGCTGCCGATATGATTGAACTTAAAGGCAGTCCTACATTAGGTAAATGTTTATATAATTTATTAAATAAATATTTATACAAAAATATCTTAAAATATCTTAAAAATATCTTTATTTGAAATTTTCTATTTTAAATCTTTGTAATTTTATGATTTCAATATTTAATTTTAATTTTCATAAAAATTTTACTTTAATAATATAAATTTTTTTGTAAATTTTATTATTATAGAAGCTGCTCTAAAACAATGTCGAAATATTGCAAGACAGTATTCCTACTTTAATAAGGTATTTCAAAACAATAATAATGCTGTATCTGCTATACTCAGGGATGTTTTTACTTATGAAAGATACTGGTAAGTAATAAAATAATTGTAATTTTTTTTATATAAAAAGTAATTTATTTCTCTTGTGAATTATTCATATATAAATAAATATATCTTATTCATAAATTTAAAAAATAGAATGAAATTTAAAGAATGCTAGAAGAATCTATTATATTCTGTAATATTAAGAGAATATTAAAATAAATCTTGATATTCTTATATGATATTAAGTTACATAAACTTACAATAAAACTTATATTAAATTTTATTAGTTGTCACGAAATAATCTATTAAAAGTTCTATACAATTATATGTACAATTTGCAAAACTAATATGTAAATTTGTTATTTTAACAAAAAAATTATAATTAATCACTGATTAATCTCTAATAATATTTTACTTCCTTAAATTAATATGATTTAAGTCTGAAATTTTTAATATGTGTATATTTTAAATTAATATAAGCGTAAAAATACTGTTTTTTAGTTTTTTCTTTTTTTTAAAGACAAATTACAAATACATCAAAATTGATTTATTTCATATAATCAGGTATTGTTTCCCAGCTATCATTAGCATCTAATGAATCATTATCAATGTCACTTTTGGAATCCACTTCTCTCGCAGGTTCCTGAATTTCGGTTTTTTCTGGCCTTTTTGTCGTTGATGTGGCAACTACATTGACCATTACAGTACTTAGACTACTCGAATTTGATAATTTCCTGGCTGCCATTACTGGACCTTGAAATACCGCTCTAGAAAACGTGTTTTTATATCTATATTTTTGTTTTTGTCGAATTCTGCATATGATGAATATCGCTAAAAAAACTACGAGAGTTACACCAAGAATAGCGCCACTTGCTATTATGGTTGGTTTCACTCTTGAAAGAGTTTTCTCGCTTTTAGTTCCATTTTCATCGAAAATATTGTCAGCTTCGCTATATACAGTTTGAATGTTAATAGAACTTGGTTCTTGTTTTACAATTTCTTTAACAAAACCAGATTCTACGATATTTGATGTATCATTGATATGTATTGTTTTTTCATTGTTTATGAACATCACGCCAAGATTGTTACTCTGTAATAGTAATTTGTTTTTATCTTCTCGATTACCGTATTGATCTGAAAACTCTCGTTGTATATCTTTAATGAACGGAAGAGAACTAAAAGTTGTCAATAAATCAACAATTTGTACTGTATGTCTATCTTTGATGTCTTCCTTGCTATTATTATCTTCATTTTTTATTTTTGAAGAATTGTTAAACTCTATATCTTTATTGTGACTATTTGATTTTAAATCGGGCATCAATTGGTCAGTTGTACTTTCTTCAGGACGAATAGAATTCGTTGAATTTAATAACGAATCAACGCTTTTTAGATTTTCACTCGATTGTGACATATTGTCAATTCTTTTGTCATGGTTTTCATGATTTATAACTTTGTCTATGTCAAAATCCTCATTAGACGAAGATTTAATTTCTTTGAAGATATTTACATTCTTCATTCTATATTCATCATTTGATTTGTAAGCTCTGAGTCGCGATACTTCAGCTAAGTGAACTTTACTAGAACCTCTTTGTCTCAATGCGATTAGTTCCTCTAAGCTCATGTTCCTCGATTTAAGAAGACGTTCTAATCTTTTTCCTGCTGATCCAGAAGCAAATAATTCAAAAATCTCTGCTCGAGCTTCAGGCTCTACTTCTGATATAATATCATCATAGCTCTTTTTCTCGGTTGTGTTTGTATTCTGATGATTTCTCAGAGTATTATTACTATTTTTATCTATAGATGGATTTTTTGTAAGTTTTTGATAATTTTCTATAGTGGAATTAACATTATGTGACATTGCATCTAGCGCAGATTCTATTTCCTGTATTATAATTTTACTCATATCCCTTTGATCGTTGGAATTATTGACCTCTGTGCTTTGTTCCAAATCATAATACATCATCGGCATATCACTCTGATATTCTTTTTCAGAAGAAGTACCGTAATCATCTTCAGAATGCTCTAGGATAACTCGATGATCTTCATTCCTAATTATCGCACTTCTGTTAACATTAGTGGAATTAACAAGAAGTTGTTCTTCATTCTCAGAATTAATCGATAAATTACTAATTGATTTTGAACGTTCCGTGGGACTTAATATTTTTTCAATACTCAAGGTCGATCCTCTATCCTCAAAATGATTTTTCGTACTTTCTATTCTTTTGGAAGATTTGCTTGTATCTCCGTCTTTCATCATCAACCAAACCGGAGACACACCATTTCTTCCCTTCTTGTAATCGGTGAAATCAGAAAATTCCATGATTTCGTCCTCGTCTAAACTCTCAGCTCCGATTTCGTCATTGTTGCGTGATTTCACAGTGGCATCGTCTGCTTGCAATAGCTCCATAGAATTCGTTGCAACCGGTAACGGCATCGATGTCGTAATAGTAACTTTGACTCGTGGAGGATCGACACTGGCGGGAATCAATTTTCCACTCGTTGCGTTCCCAACTTCTGAATACATTTCACCGCTATTTATTCTACTCAACGAGGATCCCTTCGCCTGATTCTTACGCAAGCTACTGTTCGATGGAATGATCGAAATTACGAATTCCTCGTCATTCTGAGAATTCTTCTCTTTTATAGATTTCACGTTGTGCATCCATTCTGGTTTCTTCGTTGTTGTGGAGAGTTTCGCGAACGAGTTGGTCATCATCTTCGCCGCCTCTTCAACATAATCCTCGGATTCCTCGACGTCTTTCATCTTCAAAACATTGATCACATCAACCTTGCCTCTCAGTAGATCGTTCAGAGTCAAATTTCTGCGCTGTAGGATCTCTGACAAACTCAAACCCTCTTCCTGTTGCATCTTCAATAATGATTTTAGCTCCATGGCATTCTGTAAAAATTGATCATTTTTTGACGTTGTTTCTGGCGGATTTTCTTGATCGTTCCCTCGAGCCCAAGTTCCAGGATTATTGTTTATTCTTTTCTCATTCAACAATGTTTCGTTTTCCACCAAAGCAAATTCGTAATTTTGCGGAGGTCTTCGTTTCCTCGGTCGAGGCTTCAAATACTCCTCGTCGTTGAATTCATGTTCATAATCATTCGGACGTACTTGAAATATCTCTCGATATCTCATCGACGTCGTTTCTTTGTCCTCGTTGAGATCTCTATTTTGATCTTTCTTTCTATTATTCGTCTCTCTAAAAATAGCCGTATTCTCGATAGGCCAGGATCGATTTCTTTTTCGTGGCAATATTTCTTCTCGTTCGCGATATCCATGCCTGTTCTCTATAGATTCGTAATTCTCATGATCGTTATAAGGTGCTCGATGATTGTTCCTCGTACGAAGAAAATTTTCTCGTCCATTGTTTTGACGGTATTTCGTTCCACGATGATCGTAGTCCTCTTCCTCCTCGTTGTCGATTTTGTCCCTGGAGAATCGGGAAAATTGGGAAAATGGAAGCAGAGGAACTGTATCGCCGTCCCGCCATTTAGGTTCTAAGGCCTCGCCATTGTTCCGCCATTTGCCGACTAGCTCACCCGAGTTCTCGTCTCTGATTTCCGGTCGACCTCGAGTTTCCCTCTAAAAATAATTTAATGTTGATAAATGCTCGCCAACTTGAATTATTTAAGTGGAGAGTTAAAATAGCAGACCTATTTTTCTTAGAAAATATTTCATAAAAAAAAAAAAAAAAGAAATGAGAATGAAAAATATTTTTGGATTCTATTTTTCAAATTTAGAAAACTTTCTATTAAAAAATAAATAAACAATTTGATGTTCGTTAAAACGAAGTTTAATCTTATTAATTTCTATCTTCTTTTATCAAAAAATTGTTTCCCTTATTAAAGAAAATTGTTATGAATCGCTATTATCCTTCTCTATAAATCAAAAAATAGCGTAAATAAAAATGGAAGAAGACGGAATTATTCGATAACTCGAATAGCAAATTCTAAGAATATTGCATCGTCTTTTGATGTAGAAACAGCTCGATTTTTTTCCTGTTTACTTTTCCAAAGAATCTATGCCCGCGTGAGAAATAATACAAGAATGGTATTATTTCGCGTAGATTTTTCGCAATCATAATTACTTCCACTTTTAATTTTTGCAACGAATTTTCTCCGAATTGAATCTTGTTACTTTCAAACTTGATGACTTTATCCGTTCTATTAAATAATATTATAAAAAGAGAAAATGTAGAACACATTTCCATTAATTTCGAAATATTTTTATATCCACTCTAGCATTTAAACTAAAAATTCGTCTCAATGATTTATTATCGTAAAGTTCGTATAAAGTTGATAAAGCGTTCAAGTTTCACTACTTAATTTAATTATGGCAATTAATATTCACTTACATAATCACTTACAAAAGTATTGTTTAAATTTATATTTTCAAAACAAACCACATTTATCCACAATTTCAATTATAAAATTCAAACAATTTCGTGTTTCAATTAAATATATATTTTTCTGTAATGTGATATACAATGTGATTACAATTATAATATTTACAGAAAAATTTTATAATAATAAAAAACTTATAAATATCTTATTAAAAACAATTCAAATCTATAAAAAAATTAAATTTTTTTTTTGTAAGAACGAAAAAACGAACAAGAATCACCTTTTTCCAATTTCAAATTCTGAACATTTCATATGCAATAACGTAATTACGCCAAGTTTCCCTTCCTTTCTTTCCCTTCGCTCATTTTCTTTCTATCCTATATGAATAAACGTAACGCTAATCGATAAAACTCGGAGAATGGACGAAGTTTGTTTAAACACGTGAAATATGCGACAAAGTGTTTGCAAAGTCTCGAACTTTCCGCGCTCGGTACCAGCTTTCTCTTTCTCTCGCTGTTCATGTGCTACTGTGCAAGTTAGTTTTTTCGTTCTTTCAATCTTGACGCATGTTTTGACATTTGCCATCGTCGCAAAAACTATTTAGAAAATAATCAGAAACACGATATAAATCGCGCCGTGATCTATATCGATTGTTTGTTTCATAATTTCTTCGATAATCGCTTAAATAAATTGTTAGATACACGAGTTTTGCACGAGTTTAGAAAAAATTTATTTCATACTCGTGCTGTATTTATTTGCTCTGGAATATTTAAAATTGATTTTTCGAAAAAACTTATTTTTTTTATCATGTATGTATTCTTGAAACATTAACAATTCATTGAAACTGTGCCAGTTTGAAATTGATAAATCTATTTTTTAAATGCGTAATGATTTATTTAATAAAATTTTTTATACTTTATTTCGTAATGAATAGGAAAATTTAGCATGGATCAAAAGTGATCCAGCGATCGATTTTTATATATTCGTTGTGCTATTGTGAAATGATATTTTTAAAACATGATGCTTTACGATTCAGATTATTGTACTGAATTTAATTTATATCGTGTTGATTTGGTTTGAGTCAAAACCTCGTCTTGAAATTACAGGATTCCGAAAATATCTCACAACTCGAGAATGTCGGGATTCCTGAGAATTTCGAGAATCCAAAGAATGTTTCGAAATTAGTTTTAGTTAAATACGGCCGTGATTCTGGATCTTTTTATTTTTTTAGAAATATAAAATTAACTTATAAGATTGAGAACATTCGTGATTGATAGATTTCTTTTTTTCATTTTTTTAAAATTGCATAATGAACAATGAAAATTAATCGATACGAGATAGATCAATCTTTCGCAAAGATAATAGGATAATAATAATGTCCGATGATTCTACATGCGAATTCGCTATTGAAGTGTCTCGAGCACTTCACGACGTACCTGTTCCACCGGAAAAAAATAAGAGAAAGAGGAAATAAACGACCGGTTAAAAGAGCAAATCCACGAACTCGTTGCAAGAGACGTTGCAAGATCTCTTCGTTCGAACAGATATAATAATTATTAAGTAATTATTAATACTTTAATTATCCCATGTTTTTATAATAATATCGAAAAATTTTTGTATGTTTTTTTAATTATATAATTAGATATTGATATGATGTTTTATTTGTCAATTATGAATGATTTATTGTGGGAAAAGTAATGAAATTAATTTGGAATGTAATTTAGAGAGAATTTAGAATAATAAAACACAGATATATTTATCAATCATGAATATCCAAAGAAAATTTGATTTACTAAAGAAATAAGTGATTACAACGATGTTAGATAATTTTTGATTATTTTGAAAATAATAATAGATTCTTTTTCTATTCAGGAATTTAATTTTTTATGGATTTTTTTTACATAATACTTATAAAGCATGTATGCACATTGATATTAATGAAAATTCTGGAATATGCGTGAAATATATACGAAATATCGATATATATATATATGCAAAATAATATGCAGAGAGAAAGAATTAAAAAGTGAAGTTCCTTTCAATCAAAAGACGAAAACAATTTAGTAAATATTATTATATCAATTATATTATTTATTATTTATTAATCCTTATAATATTAATTCCTTATTTTATCTTTAATTTTAAAAAAAAAATATAACATTTTTATATCATTCATTGCCTAATATAAATATTGCCTCGATTTTAATTTTCATCGCCTATACACTAAAATTTCTTCGCTAAAATAATCTCTGTTAATCGGTCCAAAGAATTCGCTCGATGAATGGAATAACAAAATAACAGAAATTTCCTTACCCGATTCTCGTCTCTGTTAACGATCCCCGTACTCGCTCGAACGCTCGTCTCCGCATCAACTGTCCTACCGCGAGGGAAATCGAACGTGAAAAGCATCAACAAGAGCAGATAGAATGTTCTCAACATCGTTGCAGTGCGATCGAAACGCGGACAATTCCTCGTCGTCGAAACACCAATTCTCCTTCAACTCGTCCACGTTTCCGTGGACCCTCGCCTCTTCCGTGTCCACCACCTCCTTCGTGTACAAGTGCACAAAGATCGCCGCCGCACACAGGATAACGAAAATCGCGTTCTTCCTGTTGCACAGACCGAATATATCCTCAGGGTTCATGCAGAACCGCTCTATCGTCCTCCCTTGCGGTTCTTAATTACCGGTTCACACGGTTTCCGGTTTATTCGCTTTTGTTCGTCCTCCCCCCCCCCCCCCCCCCCCCCCTTGCGGTTCTTAATTACCGGTTCACACGGTTTCCGGTTTATTCGCTTTTGTTCGTCCTCCCCCCCCCCCCCCCCCCCCCCCTTGCGGTTCTTAATTACCGGTTCACACGGTTTCCGGTTTATTCGCTTTTGTTCGTCCTCCCCCCTCCCCCCTTTCTTCTCCGATTCTTATCCTATATTATTTTCTCACCTATCTCAATTTTCCTCCTCCCCCCCCTCGATCACAAAATTGGCGAGAGAACAGTTCAGTTCACTGCGAAAACTTTCTATTCTAACTAAAAAAAATATATATATATATACATATGTGTATATATAAATATTGTTAACCAGAAAATTGATCAAAAAACAATTTATCACGATTATATCGCGAACTTTCTTTCTCTGTTTTCAAATATTTTCCTTTTCCCTTTGTATTTTTGCCACAATATCGATCGAGCACAATCTTATTTTTAATTGTTTTTAAGTAGATCACATTAAATGATATGTTCCTCGTTGATTGTTCAATTCGTTTAGTTCCAATTTCACTTTATTATCACCTCGGATAACGGTCGCGATCCTACCATCTTCTTCTTCTTCTTTTTCTTTTTTTTTCTTCTTCTTTTTTCGAATCACGATGCCTGAATCCTTGCGAACTGGCCTCTCTGTCGTTACTTTCGAAACGGCACGCTCCTCTCCACGCTCGGCAAATCGTTCCCGCGTACTGACGCCAGTTTTCTCCGTACACGGTCCTAAGTAAGTCGGTGAAACTCGGAGAGCAGTCTTCT